CTGAAGACCCCAAGCGAAAACTGAATGAGAATCTTTAATCTTTAAACTTTTTGTATAGAATCCATGTAAGTGATAAATTCATACCTAAAGGATATAGCAATTTGCCCTTGACCTACCTTACGTAAATATTAAAAGGATGCATGGAAATTGTATGTTAGTAGTCCTTAAAGATTAATTAAGTGTGACAAGAAATAATGTTTATTTCATTAAAATACAAGCTCTCGACTGGTCAATTTTCCTGAGTTACGCTTCTTAAGTTCTCATTAATTGATACTCTGTTCTGATTTGATCATCCTGGCTGGTTGACTCAATGGTCCCAGGAATCACAGGTTGTAATTACTGACTACAAAGCCATTAACAAGGGTGAATTATTCTCAAACAACATTGCTATAATTAAAAAGCACATTTATAACACTGAACATGATTTTCAAGGGACAATGCTAGTCTCACATTTGATCAATTGAACAACTGGGGAGGAACTGAATTTGATAATATTGTACTTTCAGGGTGAGCTGGTGAAATGATCAAATAACACGTCTATCACAGGGTATTAAGGCATGTGACAAAGTAGAGAAATCTAATTTATACCTGGGAAGCCAAACAGGAGCAGTCTAGCAGTTACTACATTCTAGCCTGAGATCTGGATTCCTGAGGCCAGTAGGCAGGTGGTAACAGAACTGGGTTGAAGTTGAGATTTACTGAGAGAACAAGAAGGGGAAAGGTAAAGATAACAAGGAAGATGAAGAAAGAGAGCTGAACTTTTTTTTAGCCTAGTATTTAAGTGAAAAACTGATTTGATTAATGCGTCTTTTTTAAAAGTTAGAAATCTATCAGAATAGGCTGTTTAGAGAAAGTGATTATTTCTCCAGAATCAAAGGCATAAACTAGAAAAGATTCAGCTTTGGGTAAAGCCTGAGTGGTCTTACGAAACATTCCTACAGACTTTACATCACTGAGTTCCTAGTTCTGAAGGATTTCATCCAAAAGTGCAAGACTCATGTTTATAGGCATATGCACACATATTCATGTGCTGTATATACTAAAAGTATTTCAGAGGGTGATTTAGGAATCTCAATTATAAATCTTCAGGGCAAGAATCTTGCCTATTTTGTTGCTAAGGAAGATGAATGGGCTGCCAAAAGTAGTATTAAAGCCCTTTACATGCTAAGTCATGAGTCTAAAGAGGATAAATAGGTTCGTTCTTCCAAGAGCTAGAGGCAAGATTTTTACTCGGTTATTACATTACCACAAACATGTGGATTCTACAAAAGTCGCCTAGCAACATTATAGTTAGAAACAACACTGGGTGGAGAAAGGAACTGGAAATTTGAATTCAATATGCTCTGGGGCAGGTGGGTGTAACCCATCTCTCCAGTACAGTGTGTACTGTATTCAGAGGAGCATGAAATTTTAAAAATCAGAAGTCACTTAAAATTTCAGTTAGGATGTTATGCAGTTAAACCGTAACATTGTGTCATGTTCTCAGCTGGAGGAGGCAGGGCCCGAGTTTCTCACTCATTTTTATTTTGGTACTTTTGTTTTAAAGATCACTAGATTTTCATTCAATTATTCTAAAAACATTTATTAAGCACTTTCTCAGGGGCCAAGGCACAATGCTGGTTGCTGGAGCTCTAAAGACAAATAAAACATGGTCCCAGCCCTGAGCAGGAGGGAAGCCAGACAAGTAAACAAAGTGTTATTTAGTTCATGCTGGGTGTTGTGGAAAGTCTGGAGCAAGGATGTCTGGAGCAAGGAATGGAGAAAAGTCAAGGAAAGGCTTCATAGAGGAAGTGGCTCTAGCACTGGGATTTATTCATTCACCTGTCACCGCTCTGTCACCGGCCCAGAGTGCTGTGGGGTCAGCCTAGCTCACAGCAATCTCAAACTCCTGGGCTCAAGCGATCCTCCTGCCTCAGCCTCCTGAATAGCTGGGACTACAGGCGAATGCCACCACACCCGGCTAATTTTTTCTGTTTTTAGTAGTAGAGACAGGGGTCTCACTCTTGCTCAGGCTGGTCTGGAACTCCTGACCTCAAGCAATCCTCCAGCCTCGGCCTCCCACAGTGCTAGGATTACAGGTGTGAGACACCGTGGCTAGGCCAGCACTGGGTTTTAACTTTTAAAAAATTCCTTCTTTCCCCCAGTCATGTTACATATGTGTTTCCAACTTACCTCTCCCATTCTGTGTCAGGACTTGGGTGCCAAGAACTCAGCACCCTGGGACCTGTAGACCAAAAACTCTTCCCTTCCCATCTGAAACCCAGGCCCTTTTGCCCCAGCCTACTTCAAGGACCTCCCAGTTTAGAGAGGCAGGCAGGTGGCAAAGTAGGAGTTGACAAACAACAAAACAAACATTGTTAAGAATGTTTACCTCCAGGAAAGGGAATTAGGCTGGGGATTGACGGGATAGGTGGGAGACTATGGTACCATTTAAATTTTTATTACTGGTGGGGGGGGCAAACCATGGAGAAAAATATGATAAAAGTGTGATACCTGCTAACCTTCTACCAACTTGCATTGAATAGAGTAGTAATCTCTGTGCAAAATCTTAAATAGGCAAATTTATCTGCAAACATGCCAATTTAGGAAGCAAATAACCAACAAATACTTAAGTAAGGGGTCTTTTATCACCCACGAAGTAGTGAGAACCTAAGTCATGTCAGAATACTGCAATAAACAAGATAGAGAAGGTCCTCACCCTCAGGAACCACATTTTTCTGGAAAGAGATAAATCAACAACATACTCCGAGATAGATAAAAGCCTGTTAGGGCAATAAAGCAGGGTGTTGTGAAAGAGCCAAGAGGGGAGGGACGTGAGATTGCACGGTTAGCAACAGGGATATAGAATTCTTACATAGGAGGGGTTCAGGAGCAACAATCTAGTTGGGGAGAGTTGTCTAAGGGGCTTTAAAGTTCCCATTTACCTAGAAAGCACTCTATTTTTACAGACAACCTAGTTACAAATCAATAAAAAACAGTTTTCTAAAGTTATTTTTATTTACACTTCACATAAAGTTGAGAAAATGTCAACCATCCATATCAAAGAGGTAGATTTGTCACCACCAGGAGTGGCTGCAGGGGAGGTGTCGGAGGAAGGGTTCTAAGAACCACACCTGGGCTTTGGCTACTGTGGATTGGAGAATGCCTCTCCTACAAGTATAGAGTTCTCATTCTCCAAGAGCTTGTAATTAAGTTTGAATTAACATACAAAAAAGACACATTTATCCAGCTAGCAAAAGTTTGGAGAAGTCATCCGTTAACCCTTCACTGTGTCTTCTTCAGGTGCGTGATCTCAGGAAATTCCCCTCGTGATATGTTAAGTACTAACATGTGTCTTCATTAAAAATTCAACTTGAGTTAATTATTCAGCCTTTGAAAATGTTAGAGCATATATGACAAAGTGTTAATATACATAAAGTACTACAATAAGAAAAACAGACAGCAGAAGTAAATGTAAATGCCCATTAAACCCATGACAACTGTCCAATAACGTGAATCAAAACAGCAAAAACACATTAACAAACATTAAATACCCACTGATGTCCAGAAGTCACAGTGTGCTTTAATCCAGTGCTAGTGAGAATATAAATTGTTTTTCTGGAGGGCAGTTTAATAGTTTATATTCTTTGACCCAGTAATTCCCACTCCACGGACGTAGCCTAAAGAATAATAATAATTAGAAAACACAACACGGAGAGGTAAAAATATTCATTACGGGGTTATTTACAACAGAAAAATTGGGAGAAACTTGTGTGTGCAATAAAGGACGGATTAAATCACAGATTGACCAAGCACCAGGGGAATTTTTTCAAGTTGCATTTAAGTTTGCAGCCAGCCGGGCCAATCAGTTTTGCCAACGCGTGCACACGTGCTGGCGAACAAAAATAAACACCGAGGTCGCGTGGTGAGCACTTGTTTTGTGATAGGGTCGACTGCCCGGTTGTTTCTATTTACCACAGACAAGTCTCGGGTGGGCTGCAGAGGGACCGCCGGCCTAGGGGAGCTCACCTTGCTGGGCTGTGGACGCACCCGCCCCTAACAGCCACCCCGGGGATAAACTGAGGCTCAGAGGCTGCTCCCACTGCTGGTGTCCTAGCTTCGAGAACTGGCATGTCCGTCCTCTCGCTGATTTCGGTGTCCGGCCTAAGCATATCGGCTCACACAGTTTAGAAACAACGTGAGGCCCCCGTCACCATTCCCGGCTCAGACCTCGACCTGGGAACGTGACTGCCACCTGCCACGCCCACAACGCCCCAGCGGCCCGCCCCAAAGGGACAAGGGGCAGGAGGCGGCCTCTGGGGGCAGCGGACTAGGGCCACGCGGTCCCCGGCTCGTCCTGGCTCGCAGGGACCCGAAGGCGCTCCCGGTCTGCCCCGCTTCAAACCCCGGGGCGCCGGAGGAACGGCAATGAGGCCGCGTCCGAGCCGCAGTTCGGTTCGGCTTTGGCAAGCCCAGCTCCCTTCGCTCCTCCCAGAAGGCCTGCTCGGCTCCGGGGCCCAGCCCCGTCCGGGCGGTGTCGGGTCGGGCCCCCAGCCGCCCGGGCTCGCTCATAGGCCCATGGCGCCGCAGCCCGCCCAGGCCTGCTCGGCGCGAGTCGGGGGCGGAGCCTGCTGGTTCGCGCCAAAATCGCGTAGCTGGTCCCGCCCCAGCGGGCTACGTCGCGCCCTCCTTTTTTTTCAAACCCAGGGCTGTGCGTGGATTGGTGGGCTGGGCACTCACGTGGTTAACGGTCGCGGGAAGCCGCCGAGCCCGAACCTGCGGCTGGGTCTGCGGAGACCTCAGCTTCGGCGCCCGGGCCGCCCCGCCTCTGCCGGACAGTCCGCACCGCCACCTCAGCCGCCCGCGGCATCCCGGGGCCGCGCTCCGCCGCCGTGCAGGCCAGCCGCTGCCGCGACCCGGCGCGCCCAGTCGCACGTGGCGGACCCGCCCCCTGGGCCAGCAGTGTCCTGGCCTCCGCGGGCCACGGCTCTCCAGTCCTCTACCCCGGCCCCAGGACCGCGATGAGCTTCCTCAGCCGGCAGCAGCCGCCGCCGCCCCGCCGCGCCGGGGCCGCCTGCACATTGCGGCAGAAACTGATTTTCTCGCACTGCAGCGACTGTGAAGAGGAAGAGGAGGAAGAGGAGGAGGAGGGCAGCGGCCACAGTACGGGGGAGGACTCGGCCTTTCAGGAGCCCGACTCGCCGCTGCCGCCCGCGCGGAGCCCCGCCGAGCCCGGGCCCGAGCGCCGCCGCTCACCCGGCCCGGCCCCCGGCAGCCCCGGGGAGCTGGAGGAGGACATGCTGCTGCGGGACGCCTGCCCAGGCGCGGACGGGGCGGGCGGCGGGGCCGAGGGCGACTCATGGGAGGAGGAGGGCTTCGGCTCCTCGTCGCCCGTCAAGTCGCCGGCAGCTGCCTATTTCCTGGGCAGCTCGTTTTCGCCGGTGCGCTGCGGCGGCCCGGGGGACGCGTCGCCGCGGGACTGCAGGGCGGCCGAGGGCCCCTGCTCGCCGCTGCCGGACCACCCGGGCACCCCGCCGCACAAGACCTTCCGCAAGCTGCGGCTCTTCGACACGCCGCACACGCCCAAGGTGAGCGGGCGGGCGGGGGCCCGAGCGGCCTCGGCCCCAGGCTCACAGCCCGCGCCGGCCGAGCCTTTTAAAAAGGCGGCGGCGCCGAGGCCGAGCGCGCCGCAGCCCGGGTTCGGTTACATAACCGCCCGGCCGCACCCGCGCTCACTTTCCTGCGCCGCCACCAAAAGTTGGCAGCCCCTCTTTTTGGCCCTGCCCAGAAGTTGTCCGTTAAGATTATGTAACTGAACAATGGGCCTCGTCTGGAACTTCTTCGTCTTACAAAGGGGTTGATCGGCCAGTCCAGGTGGCTAACGATTTGCCGCCTGTTGAGCCGGGGCCGCCCCGAGCGCGGCACCCGTAACGTGGTTTGCAAGGATGCTGCAGGGGCGCCGGCCTGGCCACCTGACACTCCCGAGCCATATGGTGCCTTTTAAACGCACTGATCGGGCCTGTAATTTGGGCGGCCGCAGGCAGAAGTTTTGCTTGAAAAAAAAAGAAGTCCTGTGCTTATCGTTTGGTGTCGTGTAGCGTTATGGGGGGAAAGTTTGAGGCGTGGAGGGAGACTGCGCCTCGACTTGGGAGTGAAGGCTGGCCTGCCAAGCGTTTACAGTCTTAGATTCATAAATTATAAGCCAAGGTAGCATTTAAGCCTCTTTCCGGACAAAGTATTGGTAAGCGTTTGTTTGTATCCTTGGTTTTGCCGTACCCCAGTTTGGTCGGCCTACTTGTGATGTTTAGGAACATCCTACTTTTGATAAGGTATCTTAGAGACGTAGGTGTTCGGTACCTGTTTTTTGAATAGCTAGTGAGTACTATGCAGATTACCATTTCCAAAGCTTTAGAAGTCATAGGAGACACTTCCAGAAATTAAGAATAGCACTTTTAAGATTAATATGGAAAATGTACGTTTAAAGTGAATCTTTTGTTTTCAAGGTACTGTGAATCGTAAATCTGGGGAATTCGTGTGCTTTTGAGCATTACTGTTTATTAGCCGACTTGCCCAAGGCAAAATCCCTCTGGAAATGAGGGGAGGAGTCCAGCGGAGGTGGCTTTCAAAGCCCTATTTAGATGGGGGAGGAGAGGGAAGCTTTTATGGGGCTCTCTGACTGCTTTCTATTTTTGGATGAGTTGAAAGGGTTTGTTAACTTCTAGCCACTAGAATGAACTTAGTTTTTAGTCAGCATTCATGTTCTTTTTTAGGTTAGAGACAGATTTTACTTGGCTATCTTTTTCAGAAAAGGTAGCATCCAGCTTCAGACTTCCTAAATTAGCCACTGTTTATTTTGCACAAACCTATAACAAAGGCTTGTGTCTTTCGTTGATCTACACATTCAGCCACATAAAAGGCTTTTTGAAGGTTAGATTAAACAGGTTGACTATTTGTAGGACTTGGGTCCTAAAAATTTTATTTTTCCTTCCCTAGAGTTTGCTCTCCAAAGCTCGAGGAATAGATTCCAGTTCTGTTAAACTCCGGGGTGGTTCTCTCTTCATGGATACAGAAAAATCAGGAAAAAGAGAATTTGATGTGCGACAGACCCCTCAAGTGAATATTAATCCTTTTACTCCGGATTCTCTGTTGCTTCATTCCTCAGGACAGTGTCGCCGAAGAAAGAGAACATATTGGAATGAGTAAGTCATTTATTCAAGTTTGGTTCCCCCAAACAACCCAAGATTGGTTTGGTATACTTATCAAAATTTGGTTTCTACTGAATAGCATGGATATTTTTGCTCCTAATTTTTTTCTTTTACTAGCACCTACCTAACTCTCGAGAGATAGGTGGGAAGTAATCAGCTGTGGGAAAGGAGTGGTGTGAGAGATGAACAAATAAAAAACCCTAGATATCTCGTAGGAAATCTGCTGGTATCAAAAATGAGGCAAACAGAAAGACTTGATTTAGAAAAGCTTTAATTTTGGTACGTGTCATGGTACAAGCTTCTGTTTATTGGGCTTATCTCAGCAGAGACAACATTTTCATCAGCTGGGTTGTATCTTGTGATTATAAAATTAAATGCTTTCTTTTCTGTTTTTATCCAATAAAATTCATTTTCACTATATATCAGATAAAGTTTTGGATCTCAAGTTGATGTATCTGTCAGATATATTAATGGAAAAATACATATTTTTTCAGTTCCTGTGGTGAAGACATGGAAGCTAGTGATTGTGAGTTTGAAGATGAAACAAGACCTGCTAAGGTAAATTAGCTTTTTATTTTCTTTTTATTATTTCCGAAACTTAATTTTCTAACTCTTAACAAATTATGATAATATATATGATAAACATAAGGTAGAATGATTTTTAGGTTTCACTCATAGTCCTGTCACCATAGCAAAAAATCATTTTTATATCTTTGCATTATGTATATGGATACACTTTTTGTTACAGAGAATTACAATTACTGAAAGCAATATGAAGTCACGGTATACAACAGAATTTCATGAGCTAGAGAAAATTGGCTCTGGAGAATTTGGTTCTGTGTTTAAGTGTGTCAAGAGGCTGGATGGATGTATTTATGCCATTAAGCGATCAAAAAAGCCATTGGCCGGCTCTGTTGATGAGTATGTATTAAACATTTTGTCTTGCTCTTTTGTCCTCTACGCTGTTCCAAACATAGGTTTTAGGCGGTCAAACACTGAATTTAATTCTCTAACTCTTGAGAAGTCATAATGATTTAATCAGTTCCTTTTCATTTTGTGCTGTTAGTTCTTTACTTCTTTTTTTTTTTTCCCCCCAGAGTATTATAGGGGTACAAACGCTTTGGTTACATAAATTGCCTTTGCACTGCCCGACAAGCATGCCCATTCCCCATATAGGCACACCACATCGGTTAGGTGTGGATTTAGCCATCCCCTCCGCACCCCTCCCACCTGCCCAACACCCTATGAATGTTACTTCCCATCTCTAGTTCTTATTGATAAATAATATGAATAGTCTGATTTTAGAGCCTAAATTAAATTTCTTATTTCTAGTCAGCTTCCATGAATTCACAGTAAAATGAAGTTTAATCTTACCTCTGCCAGCAAGGTTTCTTCTTCCTGACAAATCTTTAATGGAACTGTTTGGAAAATCTCATACTAGTCTTAACCCCCACTCTCTCGTAAGCAAGTTGTTCTTTTTCTTTAGCATAATGATAGCTACAAAAGTCAAGTTTATTGTATGAAATTTCAGATGAATTAATTTAGTTGAGGCTTGGATAAAAATGACTTAACCATCCTATTAATCTCATTTTTCCCAGGCAGAATGCTTTGAGAGAAGTATATGCTCATGCAGTGCTTGGACAGCATTCTCATGTAGTGCGATATTTCTCTGCATGGGCAGAAGATGATCATATGCTTATACAGAATGAATATTGTAATGGTGAGTACCGTAATGGTTTTCTTATAAACTTGTAAGCTTGAAAAAATGAACGTTGAGGAAGCATTTGCTCTATTTCGGTCTCTTTTATCTCTTATTCAAACATCGGGGACTCACATGAATTTCAAGTGTGAATAAAGATTAAAAACCTGCCCCGGGCTGGGCGCGGTGGCTCACGCCTGTAGTCCTAACACCCTGGGAGGCCGAGGCGGGCGGATTGTTTGAGCTCAGGAGTTAGAGACCAGCCTGAGCAAGAGCGAGACCCTGTCTCTACTAAAAATAGAAAGAAATTAGCTGTACAGCTAAAAATATATAGAAAAAATTAGCCGGGCATGGTGGCTCATGCCTGTAGTCCCAGCTACTTGGGAGGCTGAGGCAGGAGGATCGCTTGAGCCCAGGAGTTTGAGGTTGCTGTGAGCTAGGCTGACGCCACGGCACTCACTCTAGTCTGGGCAACAAAAGCGAGACTGTCTCAAAACAAAAAAGGAAAAAGAGAGGACACCAGCCTTGCCATATATGTTTTGGTATCCTAGCACCTAGCATAGTGTGGGGGGGATATAGTAGTTAATAAGATGTTTTGTTGAATGGATTCTCCCTTCATCTGGCCTTTTCTTTCCATTTCATTTTGTATGCTTCTAATACTGATGCTGGTTACTCAGTCTCTGTTGATCTAAATTCAGCCATTTCTTTAAAGCCATTTCTTTAAAGCATTGTCTAATCCTACCCCATTCCCATCTATCTAACCTAGTTTGCCACTAGAATCCACTAATACTTCTCTATTAAGGAATACTCCTGCAGTTCTCTAGCATGTCCTCTCACCCTCTTCTCTCCCCTCAAAAAGGAACAACAGCATGTATAGGTTCAGCTTTGGATGTTTCTGTATAGCTTTCAAATTTCAGTAAGTCCTTCAGGGGGCAACTTGTGTCCCTCTTTTTCATTAGACCTTCAACAAAATCCTGGTCTGAATTCTAATCCTTACAGACATCTGTTGTTATTACCCATCTTTTTATATAAAGATATAAATCTTTATACGTAATAGATTATTTCTATTTCTATATATCTTCTGTGAATGCAGACAATTTAGAATTTAGTGAACACTTCAGAAGAGACAGCAAAAATTTATTTTTGTTTTTGCCTTAAATAAACAAGACCAGTTATAACTCATTAATAAATAAGTATAGGTATGGACTCAGGTTCTTTATATTTAAAAACAATCAACAAAATGGAAGTAAAAGGTCCATTTCTCAAATCTGACTCCTCATTAAGTTATCACTTTATTAGTTTACACTTCAAAGAATTTATGTGTCTAGTATACAGCATTGCTGCTAGTTTGTTTCACACAGCTCTGGAAATGTTTCTGTTCGTACCATTAAAATATCTGTCTCCCATGACCTTGTGGACTATTCTGTTTCTTAGCCCTCATTTTTCACTTACTGCATTTAATATAGAACAACCATATGTCATCTCTATTACATATTTGCTAGATGCCATCTCCTTTTAGTTTTTTTCTTCCTTCCTCTCGCCTTGATGGGTGGTTCTCTTAGAGTATTTCAGTAGCAGTTCAGGAATCACAGATATGTAACAACCTACCAAATGCATAGTTGTATAAATCAGATGATTTTGAGAAGACTTTCTTGGGCCTGGGAGATGAGGAGCAGTGAGTAGTAATCTTGCTACTCTCTCAGATTACAAAAATTTTGTCTTGTAATAAAGTTTTATCATAAAATATAATTTATTATTTTGGAGCAGTATAAAACACTTAAAAAATATAGGTCTTGGCTGGGCATGGTGGCTCATGCCTGTAATCTCAGAACTTTGGGAGGCTGAGGCAGGAGGATCGCTTGAGTCCAGGAGATGGAGACCAGCCTGGGCAAAATAATGAGACCCCGTCTCTACAAAAGAATTACGAAAGTTTAAAAATTGGCCAGACATGGTGGTATGCACCTATAGTCTCAACTCTTTGGGAGACTGAGGCAGGAGGGATAGCTTTTGAGCTCGGGAGTTTGAGGCTACACTGAGTTGTGATCGTGCCATTGCACTCCAGCCTGGGTGACAAAGCAAGACTCTGGCTCTAAAAAAAAATTATATATACATATTTTTTATATATATATGTAAATATTTAAAAAATAAATAGACCTGTTTGAAAGAGGACTGCCACTTTGTTGTTTGTCCTAATTAGAGGAAAGAAAATAAGGCTATCTAGATACATTTGTGAGCTCTTACATTTTGTTTCCCTTTTTTGCCATTCCTTTCTCTACATAAAGCTTTGAGTATACTAATAGGGCTGATCTTTAGATCTTTTCCATAGTTTTACTGGGAAAGGATTCTGTTTATTTGTACATGTTGATTAACTGATTATCCTTTGTTGTGACTGAGTTTCTCATTATCTCAAATAGTCATTTGCATTATAAGCCTTTTATCTTTGGTGATAGATTGAAATTTCTAAGCTGGATAAACAGGTGTAGAAAAATATTGATGGATAAGCTGGGTGTGGTGATATGCACCTGTAGTCCCAGCTACTGGTGAGGCTGAGGTGGGAAGATCACTTGAGCCCAGGAGTTTAAGACCAGCCTGGGCAACATAATGAGACCCTCTCTAAAAAAAAAAAAAGAAAGAAAAATGGTGATAGATAATAGACGAGAACTTGAAATGTCAAATAAATGTTTTACTTTTTTCACCTCTCTTTGCCCTTCTAGCAATGAGATAGAAGGAACTGGCCCAGCTGTGGTTGCTGGACTTTCTAAAAACAGAAGTAGCCTTAGTCTTTCTTACCAAATTTGACCTAGGCTTTAGCTTGCCTTGTCAGGCTTATTGGTTTGCTCCCTTCTAGAGCCTTCCTCCCCCACCCCCCAGTTCAAGATTTGTGCAAGTTAAGAATGGAGAACATACTTAAGACTAAGATATCCAGATGTGTGTTTTATTTTTATTTTAAAAACACATTTGACATTTTGTTATTAAGTCTTGTTCAAATTGTAGGACCTCCTTTCCTCATTAATATATCATTGACTTTCCTGACTTTATTAGCCAGCTCTGATTTTATTATTCCTAAACTTTAAACAGAACATTTTTTTAAAACAACTTCTCATTGCTTATTAGATAAAATATAAACTTACACAGTTTTTAAAAATTTAGGCAGGGTGTGGTAGCTCACACCTGTAATCCTAGAATGCCTAGAGGCCAAGGTGGGAGAATGCTTGAGCTCAGGGGTTAGAGACCAGCCTGAGCAGGAGCAAGACCTCGTCTCTACTAAAAATAGAAAAATTAGTTGGGCTTCCTGGCACATGCCTGTAGTCCTAGCTACTCAGGAGTCCGAGGCGGGAGGATTGCTTGAGCCCAGGAGTTTGAGATAGCAGTGATCTATGATGATGCCACTGCACTGTAGCCAGGGCAACCGAGCAAGACTGTTTCAAAAAGAAAAACAAAATTACAACAACGACAAAATATATGTATATAAAATAGTTGGCCAGGCGTGGTGGCTCATACCTATAATCTTAGCACTTTCGGAGGCCAGGAGTTCGAGACCAGCCTGAGCAAGAGTGAGACCCCATCTCTACGAAAAATAGAAAAATTAGCCAGGCTTGGTGCAACATGCCTGCAGTCCTAGCTACTTAGGGAGGCTGAGGTTAGGATATCTTAAGCCCAGGAATTTGAGGTTGCAGTGAGCTATGATGACACCACTGTACTCTAGCCTGGGGCACAGAGTGAGACCCTGTCTCAAAAATAAATAAATAGAGGGGGGAGGAAGGGGATGGGCATATACATACATAATGAGTGCGATTCGCACCGTCTGGGGGACAGACACGCTTGAAGCTCTGGGGCGGGGGAGCGAGGGCAATCTACATAACCTAAACATTTGTACCCTCATAATATGCTGAAATAATAAAAAATAAATAAATAAACAATAAATAAGTAAAAATTTAAAAAAAATTAACTCGTTTGACCAATTCTATAAAAGCAGATTATCTTCCCATTTATAGTAAGAGTAGTATCTTAATGCAGTATACTAAGATACTGATTTTTACCTATAAAATTTATAGACTATCGTCAAGAGTGGGGGGAAGTAGGTATTCTCATATATTAATAGTGGACGTGTAAATTGGTACAGGCTTCTCAATGGGGACAATGTGTATGTGTGTATGTAACACAGTATGCATGCATATGTTACAAATGTGCATACCCATTTACCCATCACTTTTGTTTCTAGGAGATATGGTATATATACAGTGTACAAGGTTATTCATTAGACCATAGTATATAATAGCAAAGGCTTGGAAATAATTTTAAAATGTCCATCAATTAGGGGATTGGTTAATGCATTATGATTCAATTATACAATAATTCTATAGAGACAAGAAAGAAATGGGTAGTCTTTGTATATTGGTATAGAATGAGCTTCAAGATAATGGACATGTTATCATTTGTGTAAAAAGGAGTTGAAAAGAATACACAAGAGGCCGGACGCGGTGGCTCATGCCTGTAATCCTAGCACTCTGGGAGGCCGAGGCGAGCGGATTGTTTGAGCTCAAGAGTTCGAGACCAGCCTGAGCAAGAGCAAGACCCCGTCTCTACTAAAAATAGAAAGAAATTATCTGCACAACTAAAAATATATATAGAAAAAGTTAGCTGGGCATGGTGGCACATGCCTGTAGTCCCAGCTACTCAGGAGGCTGAGGCAGGAGGATTGCTTGAGCCCGGGAGTTTGAGGTTGCTGTGAGCTAGGCTAACGCCACGGCACTCACTTTAGCCAGGGCAACAGAGTAAGACTCTGTCTCAAAAAAAAGAATACACAAGAAACTGAGCCGGCCACAGTGGTATGCACTTATCATCCCATCTGAGGCAGGAGGATTGCTTGAGTCCAGGGGTCCTAGGCTGTGGTGCCTTATGCCAGTTGGATGTCTGCATCAAGCTGTGTATCAAGATGGTGACCTCTCAGGAGGAGGGGACCACCATGTTGCCTCAGGAGGGGTGAACTGGCCCAGGTTGGAAATGGAGCAGTCAAAACTCCCATGCTGATCAGTAGTGGGATGGAGCCTGTGAATAGTCACTGCACTCCAGCCTGGGCAACATAGCAAGACTCCCATCTCTTACAAATTAAAATAAAAAGAGAAAGAAAAAAACTGATGCGTTTGGTTGAATGTGGGAGAGAGAAGCAGTGGGTTGTTGGAGTATATGAGTGAATGAGGGACTTTAAATTGTATCTTGTACCCATGTGACTGCGTTACCTATTAAAAGAATAAATAAAATTTTGATTTCACAAGGTTGAAGGGAGGAGGTCCTATAAAATGTCACTTTCTTGGTTGAGACTATGGTCATTCAGTAAAGATGGAAGGAAGAAAAATAAGAATATTTCAGAAAGAAGAAAATGCTAATTTTTACTGTCTTTGTTAGGTGGAAGTTTAGCTGATGCCATAAGTGAAAACTACAGAACCATGAGTTACTTTACAGAAGTAGATTTGAAGGATCTCCTTTTGCAAGTTGGCCGGGGCTTGAGGTATATTCATTCGATGTCTTTGGTGCACATGGATATAAAACCTAGTAAGTATTACAGATCCTCTCACTTGTGTTCTTTGGGGTTATAGAGAATAAATAACCTCATTGTAACAATATAAAAAATACATATTTTCATTTTTAGTTTTTAAATGCCTTTGACCCAGTTTCAGTATTGTTTTATGATTTCCATTTATTTACCTCTTCCCTTGGGTTACCCCCCCCAAAATTTGAGAAAATAAATTCATTTTTATTAAAAACTGGAAAAATTTTGCTGCATTTTCTAGGAACTGCATAGTCTCAAAGTAGGACTGTGATGGGGAAACTAAAAACCTGTGCTAAAGGCTGAGCAAGGTGGCTCACACCTATAATCCTAGCATTTTGGGAGGCCGAGGCGAGAGTATTGTTTGAGGCTGAGAGTTCAAGACCAGCCTGACAAAAAATAGAAAAATTAGCCAGACATGGTGGCACAAGCCTGTAGTCCCAGCTACTGGGGAGGCTGAGACAGGAGAATCACTTGAGCCCAGGAGTTTGAGGTTGTAGTGGGCTATGATGATGCTACTTCATTCTAGCCCTGGTGAAAGAGTGAGACTCTGTCTCAAAACGAAACAAAAACTTGTGTTTAAAGCTCCACTATTCTATTAGGCCAGTCCATATCAAGATTTTCCCCACTGACCCAAGTCCTTAACAGTTGATTTGTTCAAATTAGTGTCTGTGTAAGGGCCATGCATTGCATCTGGTTATATCCATTTTTCTTTTTCAGGTTTCACCCTTTCCCTACTTTTTACTTACTTGATTTGATTTTTTAATATTTTTTAATTTAATTTAATTTAATTTTTTTGAGACAGTCTCCCTTGTGCCCTTGGCTAGAGTGCAGTGGCGCCATCATAGCTCACAGCAACCTCAAACTCCTGAGCTCAGGTGATCCTCCTGCCTCAGCCTCCCGAATAGCTGGGACCACAGGCGATTGCCACTGTGCCACTCTAATTTTTCTATTTTTAGTAGAGATGGAGTCTGGCCGTTGCTCAGGCTGGTCTCAAATTCCTGACCTCAATCAGTCCTCCCGATTTGGACTCCCAGAGTGCTAGGATTACAGGCGTGAGCCATTATGCCTAGCCTCTTTGCTTTTTAAAAATGATAGACTTGTCTTGCAAGATGTCCCCTCTGGATTTAACTGGTTGCTTCCTTGTATATTTAGCTTGTTCCTTTCCCCCTTATATTTCCTATAAATTGAAAGTTACAGCTAAGAGTTGATGAATTCAAATTAAACATGTTAGGCTGGGTAAATTTAATGAGGTTTTTTTTTTTTAATCTTTGGAAATATGTGTTGATTTATAAGAATTTAAGTCATTTTACACAACTTACCTTAATTCTGTGAATTATGTATAGAATTTCTTATCTGTACATTAACAACTCACTAAAGTTTTTATTTTCAAAAGGAAAATACTTTTGGACTTACGGAAGTAAATATGAATTAGTAAGGTTTGGCTATACTCACTCATATCTTGTATAAAGTGTCAGACATATAAGTAGACTCTTATGTTACAAAGTTGAAAATATTAGGGGATCTGAAGTTTAAAAATCATCATATTCATAAAAAGCACCACAAAATAAGTTGTCCTATGAATAAAATAAAACTGGCTAGATGACTTCAATAAATATAACATTTATAAATTCAACACTATATTGATAAGACTATTAAAATGAAATCTACCACTAAAGCTATGTAGATCATGAGTTTACTTGAGTTTGAAGAAAAGGATAATGTGTCTACAGTAGGAAATAGTGAACCACAAAGCCATATTGGGATGTGTGGATACTGTCTGGTCAGCCCAACTCACTGGCTAAATGACTAATTCTTTTCATACCAGCTTTGTAGCACTAGATTAAAATTTGTGCTTTGCCAGCATCATAAATTACTATGTTATCACCTTTTGTATTTTTAAAAGTGCTAAAGATCAATATACAGATCACAAGGGTTTAATGTAGTTGCAAGTATTTAGGGATTAATACTAGGCTAGAAAATACATTCCTAGAAAATACAACCCTGGCCCCCCATCCCCTGAGATTCTTATTGTGGTTTGGGGTAGAACATGAGAATATGCATTTTAAAAAGCTTTTTGGGTGATTCTGGCATATGACCTTGTTTGTGGACTCTGGTTACACTGTTAATTGTTAGTTTGGCTTACATGATTAACTATTTGACAGGTAATATTTTCATATCTCGAACCTCAATACCAAATGCTGCCTCTGAAGAAGGAGATGAAGATGATTGGGCATCCAACAAAGTTATGTTTAAAATAGGTAAGAAAGAAAGATAACTAGATTATTACCTTAAGATAAAGAGACTTTTGTTTTTAACTCTTGACTAATTTTTTTCAATACTTCTAGGGGATCTTGGGCATGTAACAAGGATCTCTAGTCCACAAGTTGAAGAGGGTGATAGTCGTTTTCTTGCAAATGAAGTTTTACAGGAGGTAATTTTTCTCTTTTAATAATACTGTTTCCTGTGTACCATTTATCAGTTGATAGAAGAATATAAATCAAATGTATTAAAATTTTAAGTTAATGACTAGTAGAATGGAAATATGAAATAGAAAGTCTAAACCATAAGCTAGGAGTGTTCAATCTAGCAAGAGTCATGAAGGCAGGCCTGGCGTGATGGCTCACACCTGTAATCACAGCACTTTGGGAAGCTGAAGCAGGAGGGTCACTTGAGGCCAGGAGTTCAAGATCATCCTGGGCAACATGGTGGGACCCTGTTTCTACCAAAATAAAAATTCATGAAGGCAAAGATTTATAATGGAGTTGTGGTAAAAGAGATGTTTCCATACACTAGTGCTGGAACTTTAAAATGGCATAGTCTTTTTGGAGATCAAAGTATTATTATCTATCAACACTTAAAAATCGTGTACCTGTCAGCTCAGAATTTTCACTTTTAGGAGTCTCTCCTATAGAAATATTCATATGCAAACACAAATAGAGGACCATGTAAATAAATATTTACTAGTAAGAGAATGATTAAGTAAATGATGGCACATAGTTTTAAAAGAGTGTGACAAAATATTTCTCGGTAAGAGTTTTGAATGAAGGCCAGGCGCAGTGGCTCATGCCTGTAATCCTAGCACTCTGGGAGGCCAAGGTGGGTGGATTGTTTGAGCTCAGGAGTTCGAGACCAGCCTG